ATGATTTCCATCATTTTGCCGGCGTGTATCTTCATTTCTGTTCCTATTGTTACAGATTTTACTAACAGACTAGTTTGGTACTTGACAGGTTGTTACTCGTGGAGGAATAACCAGGATGGCTCATGGTTCATACAGGCCTTGTGTATTGTCCTGGAAAATTATGGACCGAAAATGGAGCTTCTTCATATGCTTACCCAAGTCAACCGGATAGTGACTTATGAGTTTGAGTCTTGTACTGATGATGAGTTCACAGAGAACATCAAACAGATGCCTTGTATCGTGTCTATGTTGACTAGATATGTCTATTTCCGGCCCAAGAAACCAGACATCCGGGATTAAGGAACTCCTGGTATACCACGAAATTCTATGTTAGTGTTGAAGGCAGCCTTCATCCTCATTATAACCATGTAAACATGCTTGTGTGAACCTTATCTGGGTACTGGAAGTATACACCTCCTTATATTAACTGGTATATATATAACTGTTTGACAAAAGTATTTCTATGTTTGGACGACAACAATTTTTTTTTTTTCGTAAATACTTTGCATGAACAAGGTGAAAGATATTGAATGTAACAAGATAATGAAGATTTTATAGACCCCCTCTAAAGAGGAAGTCGAACAATGAGTTTATATTTTGCATCATACACTGGGCTATCATCTAAGTATTATTTTCCATTCAATCACTAAATATACATATATTTTATGCATACAAATACGGTTGCTCATTATTGATACATTTCTTGTTGTGGTTTATATTGTAACAATGATGATGAATCCGGATTCAACAATATTCTTAGAACATCCAACTCTGGCCCAGACCCGAGACAAAATGGTATGAAACAGACATAGACCCTCTACCTGTCGAGTATGTGATCCCCTGGTCCTACACAGACATAGACCCTCTACCTGTCAAGTATGTGATCCCCTGGTCCTACACAGAAATAGACCCTCTACCTGTCAAGTATGTGATCCCCTGGTCATACACAGACATAGACCCTCTACCTGTGAAGTATGTGATCCCCTGGTCCTACACAGACATAGACCCTCTACCTGTCAAGTATGTGATCCCCTGGTCATACACAGAAATAGACCCTCTACCTGTCAAGTATGTGATCCCCTGGTCCTACACAGAAATAGACCCTCTACCTGTCAAGTATGTGATCCCCTGGTCCTACACAGACATAGACCCTCTACCTGTCAAGTATGTGATCCCCTGGTCCTACACAGACATAGACCCTCTACCTGTCAAGTATGTGATCCCCTGGTCCTACACAGACATAGACCCTCTACCTGTCAAGTATGTGATCCCCTGGTCCTACACAGACATAGACCCTCTACCTGTCAAGTATGTGATCCCCTGGTCCTACACAGACATAGACCCTCTACCTGTCAAGTATGTGATCCCCTGGTCCTACACAGACATAGACCCTCTACCTGTCAAGTATGTGATCCCCTGGTCCTACACAGACATAGACCCTCTACCTGTCAAGTATGTGATCCCCTGGTCCTACACAGACATAGACCCTCTACCTGTCAAGTATGTGATCCCCTGGTCCTACACAGACATAGACCCTCTACCTGTCAAGTATGTGATCCCCTGGTCCTACACAGACATAGACCCTCTACCTGTCAAGTATGTGATCCCCTGGTCCTACACAGACATAGACCCTCTACCTGTCAAGTATGTGATCCCCTGGTCCTACACAGACATAGACCCTCTACCTGTCAAGTATGTGATCCCCTGGTCCTACACAGAAATAGACCCTCTACCTGTCAAGTATGTGATCCCCTGGTCATACACAGACATAGACCCTCTACCTGTCAAGTATGTGATCCCCTGGTCCTACACAGACATAGACCCTCTACCTGTCAAGTATGTGATCCCCTGGTCCTACACAGACATAGACCCTCTACCTGTCAAGTATGTGATCCCCTGGTCCTACACAGACATAGACCCTCTACCTGTCAAGTATGTGATCCCCTGGTCCTACACAGAAATAGACCCTCTACCTGTCAAGTATGTGATCCCCTGGTCCTACACAGACATAGACCCTCTACCTGTCAAGTATGTGATCCCCTGGTCCCACACAGACATAGACCCCCTATCTGTCGACTTTGTGGTCTCCCATAATAGTGAAACATACATGTTAGAAAAATTCCAGTCTAATGACTTCAGATGCTTGTTATCTACATTGTCTTCATAATGATGTACTTGGTTACCAATACTTGACATAACTGCCATTTTTAATGAGACTTCAGCTTGGTGTTTAAGCAATGTTTTCATATCTACCATCTTGCACAGGAATGAGTTGTTACATAAAAAGTTAGATCCCTTTATAAGGCTCCCTGCACCACACTGCCAAAACTGTAACCTTGAATAGGAAACTTCTCTACTGACATGACAGTTGCTTAAAATAAATCATTTTGGAAAGGATGACCATAGTATGTGGAACTTTTAAGAAAAATGATGAAAATGGAGCAAACAAAACTTTTCAACAGTAGTGTTGTCAGGGTAGCCAAACTCCAAACTCCTGGTCCATGATCACTCTATGGCTACTCTGACAATGCAATCAGGGTAGCCAAACTCCAAACTCCTAGTCCATGATCACTCTATGGCTACTCTGACCAACTGAGCTGATCAGAGGTAATTTCCTGGCCATGTCCGTGTCCCACGAAAGTATAGTGAAATAAAAACGAAAAAAGAGGAGATTACTGTTGCATTCATGTTTTTGCTATGGAAAAGATTAATAGAATAACTCACCCTCTTGGCACCCCCATGGTCACCCCCTTGTGGGTGAGATGAATCTCAAACCGAGGGGAAGATTCTTTAGTTGCCAAACACAAGGCTTTGCCAAGTGTTTGGCAACTTAAGAATCTTTCCCCAAGGGTTTAGAATCATCTCACCCCCAAGGGGGTGACCAAGGGAGAGATTCTATTAATCTTTTCCATAATCGATTCCTGTGCGATATAGACAGAAATCACAACCTGTGGGTAAGGTTCTGAAGTAAAGCACCTGGCAAAGCTTCATGCTCCTGTGTTATATAGACAGTAATATCAACTCAAAGGCAAGATATGTCTTTCAATAAGCACAGGAACTACCTATCAGTTTTGATGTGTAGGAAGTTTTGGATAGTTTTGTATGTTTTATAAACACCCACTATTGCTTAAGCACATATGCTGTCTTAATTGGCAGTTTTTTGTATTTGTTTTGTTTTAAATAAAAAGAGAATGAAGATAACAGTATCATGTACAATAATATCTCAAGGTTAATTTAATTCAAGTTATAACCTGTAAGGAATCATGATACTGTATTATTGAACAAATAGTAAAATTGAGTTGCACTTAATAATCAAGGAAATATGATATATTCAGTTATCATTAATTTGTTGACTCAGATAATAGTATTACATATATTTATAACTAAGGTTACGTTACTTATAAATCAACCAGACACTGTTATATAAAAGGTATAGTAAACTATCAAAGGGAACTGTAACAATATGATCCTATCATCACGCTCAAGTACATGTGTGATATGTAGAGTGGGAAGCCCTCACTACAGGATAACTGAAGTGGACCTTCATGTACAGTGTAATGGTACAGAGTATTTCCTGCTATAACAGACAGAGTTACTTCCCTTTACAACATAAAGTACAATCAAAGTGCGAGTTATGACACTGTTACACTGTCTACATTAGGAGGCACAGTAGTCTAGTGGTAGGACGCCGGGCTCGTGACCGAGGGTTGCAGATTCGAGTCACTGCATGGCTCTGTGTTGTATCTTTGAGCAAGATACTTTGAGCAACATACTCCGCTTGTTCCAGTCTACTCGGCTTTAAATGAGTATGTGGTTGGGCAGTGGTAGAATTGTAGAATGCTAGCTGTGAGCGCCGAAATGGCAGCACCTGCTGAAGACTCCCCAGGGAGTTGAGAAAGATATTGGCTAGTTGCAAAGGCCCTATAACCACGGATAATAATTTGTTAACCGCTTTGAGACGACCTCCGAACAAGGTTGTGATAAAGCGGTATATAGAACCTCGAATTATCAATATTATTATTATTACATGTAGTAACAATCTGAGTGAGTTAACAGTGTTACACTGATTACATGTAGTAACAATCTGAATGAGTTATTAATGTTACAATGTCTTCATGTAGTAACAATCTGAGTGAGTTAACAATGTTACAATGTCTACATGTAGTAACAATCTGAGTGAGTTAACAATGTTACACAGCCTACATGTAGTAACAATCTGAGTGAGTTAACAATGTTACACTGTCTACATGTAGTAACAATCTGAGTTAACATTTTTTAACTGTCTACATGTATACAAACTTTGTTAGACAGTGTACATATTGTAACATGGTTACATGATATTCAGGTACTAACAGTGTAAGTTGACATTGTTTCTGTGAATACATAAAGGAACAATCCCCAAACGTTTTCTGCAAGATCTATTGCTTAAATGTCACTTTATGAAATATAACCTGTCACAATAAAACAATGCCAACCCAGCTTTGTGTTACAGTTGTTTTGTCTTCAGGGCTGACCTTAATTACATACATCAAACCCAATCAAGCTCAGTTACCTGTTGCTTTGGATCTTGTTGCTTTAGACACCTAGCTGTGGATTTGGAATGCCTACCTAGCTGTGGATTTGGAACACCTACGTACCTAGCTGTGGATTTAGAACACCTACCTAGCTGTGGATTTAGAACACTTACCTAGCTGTGGATTTAAAACACTTACCAAGCTGTGGATTAAGAATACCTACCTAGCTGTGAATTTAGAACACCTACCTAGCTGTGGATTAAGAACACCTACCTAGCTGTGGATTAAGAACACTTACCTAGCTGTGGATTTAGAACACTTACCTAGCTGAGGATTTAGAACACTTACCTACCTAACTGTGGATTTTGAATGCCTACCTAGCTGTGGATTTAGAACGCTTACCTAGCTGTGGATTTAGAATACCTACCTAGCTGTGGATTTAGAACACCTACCTAGCTGTGGATTAAGAACACTTACCTAGCTGTGGATTTAGAACAATTACCTAGCTGTGGATTTAGAACACTTACCTACCTAACTGTGGATTTAGAATGCTTACATAGCTGTGGATTTAGAACGCTTACCTAGCTGTGGATTTAGAACACTTACATGTACCTAGTTGTGGATTAAGAACACCTTCCTAGCTGTGGATTTAGAACACTTACCTAGCTGTGGATTTAGAACACTTACATGTACCTAGCTGTGGATTTAGAACACCTACCTAGCTGTGGAATTAGAACACTTACCTAGCTGTGGATTTAGAACACCTACCTAGCTGTGGATTTAGAATGCCTACCTAGCTGTCGATTTAGAACGCTTACCTAGCTGTGGATTTAGAACACTTACATGTGCCTAGTTGTGGATTAAGAACACCTTCCTAGCTGTGGATTTAGAACACTTACCTAGGTGTGGATTTAGAACGCTTACCTAGCTGTGGATTTAGAACACTTACACTTACCTAGCTGTGGATTTAGAACACTTACCTAGCTGTGGATTTGGAATACCTACCTAGCTGTGGATTTAGAGCACCTACCTAGCTGTGGATTTGGAATACCTACGTACCTAGCTGTGGATTTAGAATGCCTACCTAGCTGTGGATTTAGAACACTTACCTACATGTAGCTGTGGGTTTGGAATACCTACCTAGCTGTGGATTTGGAACACCTACATACCTAGCTGTGGATTTGGAATGCCTACCTAGCTGTGGATTTAGAGCCCCTACCTAGCTGTGGATTTAGAACACTTACCTACATGTAGCTGTGGATTTGAAATACCTACCTAGCTGTGGATTTAGAACACCTACGTAACTAGCTGTGAATTTGGAATACCTACCTAGCTGTGGATTTAGAACACCTACCTAGCTGTGGATTTAGAACGCCTACCTATAGCTGGTGATTTAGAACACTTACCTGTGGATTTCGACTGCCTAACTGTGATCTTAGAATATAAAGACCATTGGTGTGAATTATTAAGTTCACTATTAAGCCAAATATTAAAAGCTCAAATATATTAAAGCATATTCTATTACATTTAACATTTTTCTCACAAAGAGAGGAAGAATAACAACAACTCAGAAATAATTGAATTCAACCGAATTTATTGTTGATAAAATCAAATCATTAAGGTATAATCTTAAACATCATACATTAGTATCAACATACAACAAGACTTTACTTTACCGTAAGGCGGAACCTTACTTTACTGTAAGGCTGAACGTTACTTTACCGTAAGACTGAACCTTACTATACTGTAAGGCAGAACCTTACTTTACCGTAAGGCAAAACCTTACTTTACCGTAAGGCGGAACCTTACTTTACCGTAAGACGGAACCTTACCTTACCGTAAGACGGAACCTTACTTTACCGTAAGGCTGACCCTTACTTTACTTTAAGGCGGAACCTTACTTTACTTTAAGGCAGAACCTTACTTTACTTTAAGGCAGAACCTTACTTTACCGTAAGACGGAACCTTACTTTTCTGTAAGGCGGAACCTTACTTTACCGTAAGGCTGAACCCTACTTTACTGTAAGGCGGAACCTTACTTTACTTTAAGGCGAAAGACAACAGTATGTTGACACCTACATACATGAAAGGTCAAATCGGCTTCATTCTCAGGGAACACAAGACTCACACCATCAAAAGGTAGTCAACTCTATGGCATATACAGTTTGGTAGAATAATATGATTGGCACTTTGGAAATAGAATAAGGTAATATTTTATCACAGGTTCACTTTGTAAGTTCCTACTAACTGAATGCACTTATCAATGGAAACTGTGAATGGGTAGGTTAATACTAAAACATTAACAATGTCCACCAACAGATATCAAAACCAATGTCCACCAACAGATATCAAAACCAATGTCCACCAACAGATATCAAAACCAATGATAACCGTTTTAACATTACATAACTTTGATTATTTGAATAATAAATTATCAATAAAAATGTACTGTCTATAAATCTTATAATACCGGTCATTTGATTTAGATATTTTTCTATCCTGACTATTTTTTTACTAACCACCCATGAAAACAATTTCATAGTTTAATCAGTATACAAGAAAACATGTACATAGTTTATGTGTAGACCAAAAAAATTGAAACAAAGACTTCTCAAACATATATTAGTTAGTTTACTGACAGCAAATAAAGTAAATTTGTTACTTATTATCTCAGAAAGTTTATTTAACTTTCAGAAAAAAATGAACAAAGTGAAAAATAAATGTTCACCGGCTGACTAATAATGACTGATGAATCCATGATGAGTAAGGCTTGGGCAGTATAGATATAAGCCTCTGTAATCTCAACTTAACAATAATACTGATTAAAGCAAGCAACAATCTCAATAAAAATAGCTTAGTATCAAAATTATACTCCATAATATGCCTGCCACAAGGGACCCCATATTGTAAGGTTTATTAATGTTCGTAGATCTAGTGCATGCTTAAATGCACTTCAGCACCACATACACAAATTGTCAGTTTGTCTTTTTCATTCCTACTGCTCTGACCATCCCTGTCTCAATATCATTCCTACCCCAGTGTCAAAACAACAGCTTATATCTCCTATTGTTTGGTTGGAAACTGAAGATTTACAATAAAAAAATAGCACACACTGTAAAAATGTCTGCTTTAGTCCATACACACAGAGCTGAAGGTAAGTTGTTTGTACACACAAATATGTAGTGACTATATATACAATATCATTTTTAACACTGGTACAACAATGGGTTAAAATATGTCATGGAAGCTTGTTATATTGAGACTATATGTGTATCAGGCAATCAAAGCATTTATAACCGATAACTCAACAACATCAGTAACAATAATCAACACACACATGATAGCACAGTTCTCTTTCAGTTCTTTAGTTAACTTCTAACGGGGGTCTGTCATCATAGACTTCTAACAGGAGTGTGTCATCATAGACTTCTAACAGGGTTCTGTCATCATAGACTTCTAACGGGGGTCGGTCGTCAAAGACTTTTAACAGGGTTCTGTCATCATAGACTTCAAACGGGGGTCGGTCGTCATAGACTTCTAACAGGAGTGTGTCATCATAGACTTCTAACAGGGGTCTGTCATCATAGACTTCTAACAGGGGTCTGTCATCATAGAATTCTAACAGGAGTGTGTCATCATAGACTTCTAACGGGGTCTGTCATCATAGACTTCTAACAGGAGTGTGTCATCATAGACTTCTAACAGGAGTGTGTCATCATAGACTTCTAACAGGGGTCTGTCATCATAGACTTCTAACAGGAGTGTGTCATCATAGACTTCTAACAGGGGTCTGTCATCATAGACTTCTAACGGGGGTCGGTCGTCATAGACTTCTAACAGGGTTCTGTCATCATAGACTTCTAACGGGGGTCGGTCGTCATAGACTTCTAACAGAGTTCTCTCATCATAACCTACTAACAGGGGTCGGTCGTCATAGACTTCTAACGGGGGTCGGTCGTCATAGACTTCTAACAGGGGTCTGTCATCATAGACTTCTAACGGGGGTCGGTCGTCATAGACTTCTAACAGGG